GAGCAAGTCCAGGGCTTGGGCCAGAAGGTGGGAGAGGGAGGACGTGTCTAGTCATTCGCTTGGAACAACTCCCGTGCAGTCATTTTCCCTTGCAATGTTCCCAGCATCGTGCAGCCAGTGGGTTTGCGTTGGCTGCAGGCCACGTGCCTGTGGCTTCCTGGAGGGAAGCTTCTGGGCATCGTCCTCTGTCGGGCCCGGGCTCTGCCCCACATCATCCCTCACAGTGCCCTCCCGAGTGCCAATGCCACTGCAGGAAGGGAAGGGGGCAGTGCTGCCGAGGTGGCATTCTCTCAGGAGGAAGAACCCTCCCATGCCACCTGCCTGTGATAGACCTGTGTGTCCCCAGGTGAACCTGAGGTGCACTACCCCGAAATGGTCCCTGAAAAACAGAGCTAACAGTGGCCAAGGCTTCATGTGGGAGTTTTTCTGTTGTTTTTTTTTTTTTTTCAGTCACAGGTGAGTCACCTCTGACTCACGGTGCCCCCACAGGGTCTCAGCAGGACTGTCTTTCACAGGGTTCACAACGGCTCTCATGGAAGCAGGTTGCCAGGGCTCTCTTTCAAGGTCTCTCTGGGTGGACTCAAACCGCCAACCTCTGCTTAAAGTTGAGCACATTAACTGTGGCACCCCCCGAGGATCTTCATCTAAGAAGCTGTTGTGTGCCACTGAGTCGATGCCGGCTCCCAGGGCCCCTGCAGGACGGAGGAGAACCGCCTCAGAGGGTCTCCAGGGCTGCAGTCTTTCACAGAGCGGCTGGCGGGTTCAAACCACCGAGCTGGCTCGCAGCCCGTGCTTTAGCCCCAGCGCCAGCAGAGCCCTTTCATGTAAGACACCCCCTCCTCCAGGTCCCCGGTGTACTAGCACACTAAAAGCTCTCAGAAGCTCCAGCTTTAATTTGCTTGATCCATTTCCCGGCCACCTGCCTGCAGGACCCTTCCTGGTACTTCAGCATTCTGGTGTTCTGAGTGACAGAGCTCTGAACTTCCCCTTTTAGAGTGACAACACTGAGAAAGACAAGGACAGGAGTCCAGCCCTTCTCCCTAGACTCCCACGCCAAGGCCAGCGGCTGGGCCACAGGCAGCAACTGGACAAATCGGCCAAGTGGACGGGGCTGTGGTCAGGCTGGGCCAAGGCCGGGCACACAGGGGCAGCCACCGGGGTCTGTGCTGCCGTCTCAGTAGGGTGACCTGGTTTGTGTCCACAGGTGAAAGCTGGCCTGGGCGTCAATGTCATTGGCCTGGTGATCGTGATGGTGGCCATCAACACCTGGGGAATTAGCCTCTTCCGCCTAGACACGTTTCCAGCCTGGGCTAAGGCCAGTAACATCACTGACCGGGCCTGACATGAGCGGGGAGCCTTGCCCGGCCCAGGGGCTGCCAGCGCCGAGCAGAATCTGAACCACAGGCCACAAAGCCAACAGGAGTGCGACCGGAGCCAGGCCTGAGGCCTCCCTGGCAGACGCCACCGCTGCCTCCAGCAACGGAACTCACTGGGACGTCTTCGCTATCTTCTTCCCCGCCCCGTTCCTTATCACCACCTTGCAGGACAACCCAGACCTGCCCTCACTCCTGCGTCCTCTTGCCGTTGATTCTCGGAGCACAGGAGAAGAGAATGCCAGTGTCAGCTGCCCTCCACGGCGAGACGTCACTAAAACCAAACGTGTTGTCCTCGAGTCGGTGGCGACTCCCGGCCGCCCTCCGTGTGCCCGAGAACTGCTCCATTGGGTTCTCTCTGCTGCCATCTTTACGGAAACAGACTGCTGAGCCTTTCCTGTGTGGAGATGCTGGGTGGCCTCAGACCACCGTTTTTAGTTTGGTAGTTGGACCAGACCATTGGTGCTCCTGGGAGCCCTGGCCTCACCAGGCTCTGTTGTGAATGCTCTTCTCAGAGCTGACGGAGGAATCCACATCACCCCGCTCTCCACGGGTCGTCGCTGTGCAACACTCCTCTCTGAGGGACCCTCAC